CTAGCAGTTAAGAGGTTCCCACCACCAGCCCCTCCCTCTGACCTCTCCAGCTTCATGTATCAATCCCCTCTCTCCCTTGCTGACTTGGCCTTGGCCCCTTGCGGCTCCTGGCTATTTCTTGAGCACCGAGAGCATGCCAGGCTCACGCCTCTCTCCTGTGTGAGTTCCCCTGCCTGGCATGATGGCTCGTCCACTGTTTACTTACTGGCTGCTTCATCAGGCCCTTTCTGATCACCCCACTCCCATGACCTGGCCTTTACCACACCCCATCCCTGCCGACACACTTCCTCTTGGTGTATTTGCTTACTGCCTCCCTGAGACAAGGGTCTCTGCTCATGGCTGTATCTGTAGTCAAGAACCCCCCAGGTATAGTGGGGTTTACATGAGTTACACATTGGGCTGCTGACCACAAGGTCAGCAGTTCAAACCCCACAGCTGTAGGGGTAAAGAGTGATGAGCCCTTCTACTCCCAGAAAGAGCTACAGCCTTGGGAACCCGCCGGGGCGGTTCTACCCTGTCCTGTGGGGCTGCTGCTATGAGTTGGAATCGATTTGATGGCATTGGAGTTGGTGTTTTGGTTTTGATCTTTAGTCCCCAGAGCAGTGACCCAGGCACACAGCAGATGCTCATTTTGTCGCCGTGGTTGAATGGATATGAACAACCAAACTCTGTAGCCTCTCACCATGGGCACGGAGCCGATTCTGGCTCACAGCAACCTAGCGAGAGTCAGGCTGGCCCTCGGTGAAGCAACATGAAGCCCATGTGCCTGGACACGGCCGTGTCTGGGTCCTGCGGACTCAGTTATTCCGAAAGCCCAGCTGCACCGACGTCTTTCCCTCCTGGGTTTTCCTTGGATCCTGTGGGGTGTGCCAGCACTGCTGCAGGTCACGCCTTCCTGTACCTGAGTTCACGTAAGCCGTGTCTTGCTGCTTGCCACCCAAGGTCCTGATACAGGCTTTCCTGTGTGTGCACCTTGAACACACCCTGTTAAGTACCTACCCTGTGCACGGCTCCATGCCTGGCACCGTGAGGGGCGGGGAGAAGAGGGAGATGGGCTCCTGCTTGCTTAGATCAAGAAAGCAGTGGTCACTGAGGGCTGGACTGGCCAAGGGTTCCCCGAGGAGGGAGCTGAGTTTGGAAGGAAGGGTAGGATCTGGCAGAAAAGTTGGGAAACCTACTCAGGATGGGAAGTAGCATGAGCAAAACCAGAGGCTCCTGCTCTGAGCTGAGCTTCTCACCAAGACCCCAAGCCCGCCCGGATGGCCAGGTTTATACTGGGGTGCAGGATGGACAGGACAAGGGTCTCACTATGTAGCCGGGGGCCAGAGGAAGGAGAGTCAGCAATAGGAGTCGTTAATTGCCTCCATGACCAACAGCCTCTTCTGTCGGGAGATTCGAAGAACTGGATGGTGGCTGGATATCACTACTGAAAGTGCTGATCAAAGATCCTGCAGAGGAACCGTGATCAAAAGGGGGAAATGTGGAACAGATTCAAACTGTCATGAACTCCAGATACTCTGGAACTATTGAGGCTGGATGAACCCCACAAAACTATTGCCCTGATATAATTTTAAGCCTTAAACCAAAAAGAATCCCTGACATCTTCTTTAAACCAAGTAGTGGTTTAGCTTAATTAGTAAAACTGTGCTCTTGTGGGAACTATCTAGATGGGATCAAACTGACAGCAGCAACTTGGAAGATTAGATGGGGAACGCAGTGGCTCGTGAGTTTATGTGAAAGGGAAGATCAATTTGGAAAAAGGATGCAGTATGATTGGCTTCTTTTATATATGGTCTTTCGGACCTATTAGGCTGCTGCTTCCATGAAAATGATTGGCTAGGCCACAGTCTTGCAAGGGATTGGTCAGCACGCTGTGCAAACACCAAACTCCCAAACTCACTGCCATAGCGTGATTCCGACTCATCGCCGGCCCTGGAGGACAGAGAAGAACTGCCCTTGTGGGTCTCTGAGACTTTCCATCTTTATGAGAGAAAAAAGCCTCATCTTTCTCCCACAGAGGAGCTGGCGGCTTTGAACTGTGGACCCTGCGGCGAGCAGCTTCACCATGGCAGCAGCAGTATGAGCTTTACAGACTGGGAAACCCCGTACACAGTCTCTCTCTGATTCGGGATTGACTCGGTGGGAGTGGGAGCAGACGTTTTGGAACGTTCAAAGCCGGGGAAGCACAGCCCCACTCAACACGCACAGGCTGCCTGGATTTGGAGCCGTGTCCCTGGCAGCCTGGTCTTTCTCTGTCAGGCCTCTTAGCTGTGATGTCCCTGGAAGGTGTGCACAGGGTGTGAAGCACGTGTCAGCGGCCCAGGGCAGGAGGGAGGAGCTAAACACCCCAAACAGGTCTTGGGCGGAGTCGCGACTTCCCTGGGTTGTACAAGAATTTCTGAGAGCTGGGGGAGCCGGCCTCCTGGTGGACACTGTTTTGAGATGCAGGCTCCTCAGAGGGCAGCTAGTTGCCAAGGAAGCTGTGGCTCCCAGGGAAGAAAGGAGGGGAGGGGTGTGTGTGTGTGTGTGTGTGCGTGTGTGTGTACACACGCGGGGTGCATGCACCCCTTTTGGAAGGTCCCTGGTAGCCCACCTAAACTTCAAAGCACAGTCTTGATTGCTTCTCAATCTTGTGCATTCTGCTTTGCGGTCTCTTCGACCTTTGAAAGTGCCTCTCTGCTAGGACTCAGGCTGCCAGATGCCTTACAGGAGGTGCTTTTCTGGGCAGCCGGGCAAGGAGACTGGAGGGAGAGGGGCCTCAGGGGCCGCCTCTGGGCTTGCTCTCCTCCCACTGTGTACAGGGAGCCCCTCTCCAGGGTAACCTGGGGCTGGCAGGCATTGAACAGCCACCAACCCACTGGCTGTGCTGACCATACCATTCAGACTTCCAAAGGGGGAAGGGGAGAGCCTTGGGGGCCAGGAAGCCAGGCAGCGCCCCCTCGATGGTTCCTCCAGAGCCTCCCACCCTAGAGAGGCTCCAAGGAGACAAGCTGGGGCCAGGCCAGGGGCAGGCTCTTGTGGAGAGCTCCCCTCTCTTCCTCCCTGCCCACTTGCATTTATACCCCCTTGGTGTCCCCTCTCCCAGAGCAGAGACCAGCCGGTTCCAGACAAAGCCAGGTCCACTGCAGAGCAAAGGCCTCCGAGACACCTCTCCACTGAGCTCAGGACTCCTGAGGGCTGGCTCTGAGGTCAGTGATTGGACGGGGAAGGCTTGGTGAGGAGAGGGGGTTGGAGGTGCAGATCCAGGAGTCCTGGCCAAGACACAACAAGGGCAGTGCCTCCTAGCCTGAGGTCACCCAGCAGGCCCCCGCTCCCTGGAGCCCTGTAAGAAGAAAGAAGGTTCTAGTGTGAGCTGGGGCGGGGGGCTCAGAGGGGGAAGCCTGGGTTTCCTACTTGTGTCAATAGGAACTGTCTCAGAAACCCGCAGGCGGCGCTATGAGTCAGCACGGACTCAATGGCAGTGAGGGTTTGAGTCTGAACTTACAGAGAGAAGCCCAGACAGAGCAGGGCCTGCCCAGTGTACTCCGGGCCAGCTTGTGGAAGCGGGATCGGGGAGGCATCTGGTTCCTGGCCTTGGTAGACCAGCCAGGCGACCTACCACCTGGCCGACCTACCACCAGTTCCAAGGAGGGTAACTCGATATTTTCAAGCACTTCAGAACTCCTCGCTCCCCAAGAAGCGACCCAGAGGAGAATTCACTGTAGCTGTTTGTGGCTGCTGTTGCCTTCATGTGGGGCTCATGCTGGCCCATCCTGCACCATCGTCCTCACCTGGGGATTGTGCTTGCCTGGTTTTTCTGCAGGAGGTGATGCCAGGCTCACTTCCTAGCCCGTATTCATCTGAAAGCTCTTCTAAAACCTGTTCAGCTTCATAGCCACGCGAGAGCCTCCGTTGTCTAATGAGGGGGAGCTGCAGGTGAGGGGCACTGGCCACAAGTCCAACTCAGGGTCCCGAGTCGGAGAGAATGCTACCCTTGAACCATCGTTGCTTCTTGATGCGATCACCCGTCATTAAAGCAGGGCTGCGGGCCATGGTGTTGCCTAACAAATGTCTCCAGATGCACCCAAAGGTCCCGGAATGACCTTCTACCCAACAGCATTCAGACTGCTTCTCTTTGCGGACTCTTCTTTGCTTACTCCCAGAGGAGCGGTCAGTTTTCGCCCTGTGGCCAGTGGCCCTGGGCACAGCTCCCTTTGCCCACTTGCTCAGACACAGGGGAAAACCAGTCATGTTCAGCAGCCTGTCTGGAATGTTGGCGGCAGCAACTCCATCCTGAGTTAGACTAAGCCGCCAGCTGGGACCGAGGGAGGCCGGCTGGCCCCCAACCCCACGGAGCACCAGGTGGCAGGAGAGGGAAAGGGCTCTTTTTCTTTATTAGGACCCTTTGGGATGTTCTGTTCTCGCCTGACAGAAACCAAAGATCACATCCTTGGCTTCATGAACTGGGCCTGGGGATGTGTTTTGCTTGGCCTGGGCTCAGCCGGAAATATTTAAAGAATTCATTTCAAATTGTTTTTAGGAGCAAAATTGTAGACTTGGGGAAACAAACAAATAAAACAAAACCCATTTTTTCTTCTTTTTCCTCTTCCTCCACCACTTCCTCCTTCATAAGTGTGGGACTTTAGATTGGTCACTTCTCTGGGCCTCACTGTCCTGAGCTGTAAAAATGGCCATTACACTACCTGAAAACCAAACCAAGCCAAAATCACTGCCATCGAGTCAATTCTAATCCATGGCACCTCTATTGGACGGGACAGAACGGCCCTGTGAGTTTCCCAGACTGTAACTGTTTAGGGGTGCAGAAAGCCCCATCTTTCTCCCACGGAGTCACTTGTGATTTCGAACTGCCAGCCTTGAAGATTGAAGCCCTATGTGTAACCGCTACACCACAGGGCTAGTTCAATAGTGCCCTTTGCCATCAATGCCCACCCTGTCCCCCTGTCCCGGGTCCAGCTGACCTGCCTATGAGTTTCCTATCCGTTGTTCCTGTTGCAGGAGCCATGGACATCCCCAGCGTTCCCACCTCCCCAGCCCCCAACCTCTTCGCCTTCTTCACTGCTCAGGCCACTCCGGGGACTCCAGAGGAGGAGGAGGAGGAGGCAGGCGATTTCCTCCCTGGACTTATTGCCCTGGCCTGCATCTTCCTCCTGCTGGTCTCCTGCCTGCTGTTCATGATCGTCTGCCAGCCAGCGGCACTGGACCCGAGGCGCAGGCGGTGTGAGAGCATGCCCCACGACCCGGTGAGCCCCAGCGAGCCCCAGCTCCGCCTCTGGAAGCGCCTGGGCTCCCTGCGCCTCTCCAGGCACAGCTTCCGCAGGGGCCGGCCGGCCGCCCCGAGACGCCCTCTGCCGGGCCGCGCGGGGGACAGCAGCGGCGACTACATGGAGTCCACGCTGATGTGAGGGGCATGCCCCGCCCCGCCATGGGCCCAGGCAGAGGCGCACGTATAGAAACCAGTGCCTTTGGCAAACACTGACATGGCGCCCCGTCTTTCAGAGAACGTTGCTTAATATCCGCTCAGAAATAGAAGTCACCCACGTCAACCTTTTGCGAAATGACAACGCCATTGCGAGATGGCACGGCATGAAAAGGACCGCTGTCACCGCTGAACACTGGTCTGCGATGTTCTCAGGAGCTCTCCTCTTTCGACACTCGGCTGAGCAGACCACACAGGCAGCCGGGACCCAGGGAGACGCTCAAATGCGGAAGCAGTCGTTTAAACTTGCTGTACGCAGCAGTCTCTCACAGCTGGTGACGGTGGATGGCCATGGTCAACAGGCCCTGCTCAGTAGTGCCCGCCCCCCTTTGGTGGTGCCCAAGGCCTGCCTCTGCCATACCTGAGCTAAGCCTCTGGGCCCAGGATCCTGCTCTTTCCAGAGATGGTTCTCAGCAGACCCTTCAGCTGCATCCTGCTAAAAGACCCCTGGCCCAAGGGCTGAGTACCTAGAGCCACCTGGGAACTTGGCCTAAAGCGCCAGGGTGCAACCTGGGGCTCCCCAGGGCCCTTTCTGGCACCAGCCAGGTGGTCTCCCCCCGATCCCCCTCACCTCCCGGACCTGGACGCAGCATTCCTGTTGGCCTGCCTTCCTAGACCAAGGCACAGTTCCAGTTCTCATGTGAGCTATCACATGGCTGATGGCTCCCTCTGGCCTTGTGACAAGGTACCGCCTGCCACCTGTGCCAACCCAGTGCTCAAGACAAAGGGAGCCCAGGGACTCTTCTCCGTGGACACCTGGGCCCGGTGGTGGTGGTTGGCACCCTAAATGGATCTGAGAAACCCAGGCCCCTGCGACTCCAGGGTGCACAGTCCCAGTTCTCCCTGACAGCCGGCTTACAGGAAACCCCGGGCAGGGATAAGGGCTCTTGGGTCACCTCTCTAAGCTTCTACTCCAGAGAGGGGCCTGCTCCCTCTTGGGCACAGTGGCACTAATGGCTGTAAAAATGGGACACTATGGGCCTTGCTCTGACCTTGCTGGGGGAGGACACATGTGTCAACCATCTTTAGCATCTAGGCTGGGCCCAGGGGGGCAAGGACCCTAAAGGAGATCTGACTGAAGGCTGGGCAGATGCTTTGAGCCTGTCTCGACTGCCCTGCCCCAACACATGACTCCCCATCCAACGCCCCACATGCTTGCCTGCCCTGGATACTTTCTCGACGGCCAACATCCATTCTGATCTTCGGGGTGGGGTCTCGGGGGCTGGGAAGGAAGGCTTCTCTCAGGTCATGTGGTCCCATCAGCCCACTGCCATCCCCAGCTCTTAGGGCCAGTCTCGCATCTTTGCCAAACTCCGCGAGGTCCTGCTAGGCTGCCCTTACCCCCAGCTCTCCTCTGACCTCATCCCCTCCTAGGCACCACGCTTCTCTCCTACCTAAACCCTCCCACCCTCTGTCCCCTCCCCTCCTTCTCCAGCTCCCTGCTCCCACGGGAGACCTCCTTCTGGTCCCACAGGGCTCAGCATAAGTGCCACTGCCTCCGTGAAGTCTCCCTGGACCTCACCTGCCCCCCCTGCTCTGCTCCCCTGAAGGCTGCCGGCCACTCAGTGGGAGGAAGATGATGTAGTCTGCTCCCACACGGCTTTATAGCCAGGGGACCCAGGTGACAGGGGACACGGATTTATAGCCAGGGGACCCAGGTGACAGGGGACACGGATTTATAGCCAGGGGACCCAGGTGGCAGGTCCTCTCAGACCACTCACTGGAAGCCTGTTTCCTCTGGGAGCGGACGTTCAGAGCTTGGACCTCCGAGTGAAGTGGGCCCCCTGAGAGGAGGCCCCTCAGCTCAGATGGCCCCAAAGCTCCTTGGGCAGAAGTGGGCTTCTCTCATCTCTCATCCTGGGGATTTCTGGGAAGCCTTTGCCCAGGCCAGTCCCTGGAGTTCCCTCAGGTGCCAGGCCTGCTCAGGCCAAGCTGGAGGTGGCTGGGCCCCAGGGGGAGAGGGGCAAGCAGGAGGCTCCCACAGCACCTAAGCTATCAAATTGCCATCTTGGCAGCAGTATCAGGTGGCCCATTTCAACCTGCCCGTGTCAGGGCCAGCCTGGAAGAGGCTGCCCCACCCAGAGGCCAGGGCTCGGGCTGTGTCAGATACTGACAGCTGGAGAGGAGAGCACACTGAGGAGAACATGCTGTAGCAGGGAAGTGGGAGGGTCCAGCCCTCCAGGTCTGGTCCATGGGTCTGGCCCCCACCAGGTATGCACCGTGTTCCTGCGGTGACTCCACCGAGACCCTACCACGATGGGCTTTCAGAACCCCCAACCTCTGCTCCCAGGACCAGGGCAAAACAGTTGGGCTGCATCCCAAGTCTGAAGTTGGCTGGTCCCACTGTGCTAGGGTCTGTAGTGCAGGCAGCCAGGTCTTCTCAAAGTGAGCTCGGCGTGCTCCTCCCTGGTCCCAGGCCTTCCCCAGACACAGCCAGAGCTCCGTAGCCCGGCGCTCAGGACGCTCCAAGATGGGCAGGGGCTGTTTCCCTCCAGCTGGTGCGGGCCGCTGGAGCCCACAGCTCAGGCACTGGGAGCGAGGCAGACCTGGTCTGGGCCCTCACTTGGAGTCTCTGGCTCCATCGTATGTGGAGTCTGAGGCCTCTGTTTACGGAGTGCCCCAGCCTGGATGTGTCCCCATCCTCAAAGCCATGGTGGAGGAAGTCCTGGTGGGACTCGGCTTCCTTGGAAGCCCTGGGAGATTTCTCTCCCAGCAGGCTCTGCTGGAGAGGTCCAGTGCTTCCCTTCCCAATCAGTCGGAGGTCAGAAGAAGTCCAGCTTTGCTAGAAGCCAGCCAACAGGACCCCAGGGGTGTCACCAGGATCTGAATCCCGCCCCACAAGAAACAGGCGGAGTTGGGGTAGCCCTGTTACTCGTGCAAGGAGGCTGTCTAAGTTGTGTGTAAGTAGAAGCCCTTTCTGGGGTTTAGAGAGTGGGCGGTCCCCTCCCAGAGGTCTGCGTCCACCTCTGGTCCAGCTTGTGAATCTCCCCTGGAGTCTGTCCCCGCATGGCCTCCCTGAGACACACAGACTGAATTGAGGCTACAGGAACACCTCGCCCCGCTGCACCTTCCTGAACCAGTGGGCCTGCCAGGCACCAGCGGCTGCTTCCTGCAGGTAGGGTAGGGGCAAAGGCTGCCCTGAAGGTTGAGGAAGGAATGGGGAGGGGGGCTTTCAGTGGTTTGGTACCACTCCCTCTAAACCCCTGCACCGGGCTCGGCAAACCTCTTGGTCCTAGGACACTTGCCAACCAGCTGGGGGAGGCAGGTGCCGGCTCTGGGGAGTGGCGCACACCCAGCTGAGGCCCAGAGGGATGGAGCTTTAGCCCTTCCCGCTTCTGGATGGCAGCCGCAGCCGTGCCAGGCTCTGGCCCTGTGCTCTGCCTGTGTCTGGGCACTGGCACCCACTCCCAGCCCCTCTCCTGCCCCCTTCCCGGGCACATGCCCAGCCTCCCACTCTCCTGCCCCGTGCCCCGCCCTGGACAGGCCTGGATTTGCTGGGTGAACAGAGCCATTCATTGCTGGCCTCCCCTCTCA